CATATGATCATCTCAATTGATGCGGAGAAAGCATTTGATAAAATACGACATCTTTTTATGATTAAGACCCTCAGAAAAATGGGTATAGAAGGGTCATTTCTCGACACAATAAAAGCCATCTACAAAAAACCTACAGCTAACATTATACTGAATGGGGAAAAGCTAAATACATTTCCGCTAAAAATGCGTACTAGGCAAAGCTGCCCACTTTCTCCACTGCTCTTTAATATAGTACTGGAAATCTTAGCTAATGCAATCAGAGAAGAGAACAATATAAAAGGCATTCAAATAGGCAAAGAAGAGTGGAAAATATCTTTATTCGCAGATGACATGATGATATACTTAGAAGACTCAAAGGTCTCCATGAAAAAACTCCTTGAAGCAACAAATGAATACAATAAAGTGGAAGGATACAAAATCAACATCCAAAAATCTATAGCATTTCTATATATGAACAACAATTTGAATGAAGTAGAGCTGAAGAAAGGAATCCCTTTCACCGTAACCACAAGATTATAAGATACCTAGGAATAAACCTAACTAAGAAAGTCAAAGACCTTTATAAAAGAAAACCACGAAAAGCTTATTAAAAAAGATATTGAAAGTGATATAAAAAAGTGGAAGGATATCTCATGTTCCTGGATTGGAAGAATTAACATAATCAAAATGGCAATTCTACCCAAATTAATCTACATGTTTAATGCAATTCTAATCAAAATACCAGAAATATTCTTCACAGATCTAGAAAAGACAATCATAGAATTTGTCTGGAATCATAAAAGACCTCGTATTGCAAAAGCAATCCTGCACAAGAAGAATGGAGTAGAAGGCATATCACTCCTTAATCCCAAGACATACTCTAAAGCTGTGATCATCAAAACAGCATGGTATTGGCAGAAAAACGAACATGTGAACCAATGGAATAGAATAGAAACCCCAGAAATAACTTCCAAAGCTTACAGCCAACTGATTCTTGACAAAGGATATCAGTCAATCCATTGGGAAAAGGAAAACTTCTTTAATAGCTAGTGCTGGAAAAACTGGGCATCCACCTGCAGAAAGATGAAACTGAACCCCCATCTTTCACCATTAACAACAATCAACTAAAAATGGATCAAAGATCTGAACCTAAGATCTCAAACAATAAAAATACTGGTGGAAAATCCTGGAGAAACTCTGGGAGATATTGGAGTAGGCAAAGACTTCTTAAATAAGACTTCCAAAGCACTGGGCAAAGACTTCTTAAATAAGACTCCCAAAGCACAGGCAATAATCCCTAAAAGAGACAAGTGGAACTATATCAGACTAAGTTTCTGCACAGCAAAGGACATAGTAACACATGTGAATCGACAACCCTCAGAATGGGAAAATATTTTTGTTAAATATGCCTCAGACAAGGGACTGATAACCAGAATACACAGGGAAATCAAGTGCCTTATGTAAAAAAAAAAAAAGATTAACTGATTAAAAGATGGGAAAATGAGCTGAACAAAAATTTCTCTAAGGAAAACTGAATAGCCAAAAAGCATATGAGGAACATCCCTCAACATCCCTCATCATAAGGGAGATGCAGATTAAAACTACAATGAGACATCACCTAACCCCTGTCAGAATGGCAAAGATTAAGAATATAAAAAGTGAAAAGTGTTGGCGGGGATGTGGTGAAAAGGGAACTCTTCTACACTGTTGGTGGGAATGTAAACTGGTTCAGCCACTGTAGAGAACAATATAGAGGTTCCTCAAAGTTCAACAGAACTACCATTTGATCCAGCAATCCCATTTCTGGGTATCTACCTAAAGGACAGGAGAACCTCAGTCAGAAAAGTGCTTGCACATCAATGTTTATTGCAGCATTATTCACGATTGCCAAGACATGGAATCAACCTAAATGTCCACAAACTGATGAATGAATTGGAAAAGTGTGGCATATATACTCTGTGGAATACTACCCAACCATAAAAAATAACAAGTCCCTGGCATCTGATAGAAAGTGGTCAGGTATGGAAGATCTATTGCTGAGTGAAGCAAGCCAGGCTATGAAAGAAAGATATTGTATGTATCCACTTAATATATACCAACTATCCACACTCTATGGTAGAGAGTGAAATATTGGAGGACATAAAAGCAGTGAAAATACTTAATGAGAATAAGACAGTGTGGGGACCAGCAGCTAGTGTAATGGCTATGTCGCTGGATTCCCATGTAGTCGACTGCGGTTTGAGTCCCGGACCTGGTGACTTAAACTCACGCCAGGTGCGTGTGCGTGCATGCCCAAGATCCTGAGAGGAGAATGGAAGAGAAGGGATTGTGGCGTGGCCATCCCCCCTGGGGGTTGATTTCTCGCTTTCTATCTCTCTGTCTTTCTGGTGAGCACACGCACCCTATAGCAAAAATCTCTCCAAAAAAAAAAAAAAAAAACAAAGAAGTATTTTGAGAGACAGAAACAATATTCAAATAACTTTCGTTATATTGTTATAATTGTTTTATTTTTACTGTTGTTAATCTCTTACTGTGCCTAAAGTTTCATTTACAAGTGAAACTTTACTATAGTTATGTATGTAGAGGAAAAAATGCATGCTATCCATGCTCTCAGGCATCGACTGGGATCTTGGAACAGATGCCCTATGCGTGTGTAGGTGGAGACTACTGTACAAAATGTCTTCAAAGATACTTGAATATAGGCAGAACACTCTCACTTTCTATGAGAGTATCTTTGAAACAGCAGTAATCTACTCACCTCTATCTTTCAGCTCATTAAAATCATGAATATTCTGGAAAGTGGTAGCATCTAAGCCCTTGGGTGACTGTCTTCTGACAGGAGCTTGCAGTCGATGTCTAGCCATGTCAAATATATCCATGGGATTCCTTTCTCTTTTCCTGTAGATCAATGCCAGATCATGATAAAAATGCACTAGGAAAATCTGAGTTTATATTTAAATCACAGTAAAATTTAAAAATTGGCACCTTTCACCACACTATATTATAAAAAAATTCTAATAGCTCTGTTATTTCAGTCCTTATATTAAAAACTAGGGTATTCATAAGGTCACTGTAATTTTTCAAAATGCAGATACAAGGTACCTTCTTTTTTTTAATTATTTAATTTTACTTAATTAATTAATTTTTAATTTGATCAGAGAGGGACAGACAGAGAGAAAGAAAGAGAAAGAGAAAGCAAGAAAGCAAGCCACCAGGTCTGGGACTCGAACCAGAGTCGGCCATGTGGGAGTCCAGCGCCCTTAACCACCAAACCACCTGCCGGCCCCACAAGGTACCTTCTTAGAAGATAGAATGATTTGGCTTCACCTTAAAATTGTCTTGCTATAAAAATATTGTGGTCTTTTTTAGGCTCTCTTCATTTCATGATCCTCCTGCCTCAGCCTCCTAGCTGGAGCTATATAGATGTGCATCAGCAAGCCCAGCTCTTTCAGAAAGGTCTCACTACATGATGGACCAGCCTGGAACTCATGGTCCTCTTGCCTCGGCTTCCCAATCACTGGGATTTGCAGGCATGCTGTGTCTGGCCTGTAGGTTGGACTGGGACTCAAGTCTAGGCCTCCCATGGTTCCTGCTCCAAGCAGCTCACACCACTGTGGCTAAACCAGGTCACAGTCTTTGAGGTCAAAAACAGAATCAAGACCAGCTTTGCTGTGTGTTAGCAATTCAGCCTTGACTTCATCAGCTGTAAAATACAATGTCTATCTCTTATAATCTTGTGGGCAAGAGAATATACCACCTTTCAATTGCCTAGAAGTAGATCTGACCTATACAAGAGAATTATTCATTGAAAATTACTTCTTGGGGGCCGGCAGGTGGTTTGGTGGTTAAGGACTCCTACATGGTCGACCATGGTTTGAGTCCTTGACCTGGCAGATTGCCTTCTCACTTTCTCTCTCACTCTGTCACTCTCTGGTCAAATTAAAATAAATAAATGAATAAATAAAGTTAAGTAAATAATTCTTTAAAAAAAGGAAAATTACTTCTTGGATTAACCTTTCATTATCTAGTTAGTCTGTATCTTGAAATTTTCTAACCTTGTTTATCTAGTCAGAACACGCTTAAAAATGCAAACAAAAATCTAAGCAAAGCATTATCACAAATTAACATGCTATATTAAAATTCCAGGACAGCCAATGGTCTAGTGGTTAAGGGAACAAGGTCTCACATGGCAACCACACGGCTCAAATCTTGGCCCCAGCAGCTTGAAAAACACACTGGGTGAAAGAGTG